ATTTATTTATATATTGCTTAGATGCGAATAAAATATTTATTTATTAGAAATAGAAACAAGGGTAAAAATTAATTTTTATTTTTTATGTCTGACTAAAAACCAACTTGTACTACTGTGATAAAATTTTTTAAAAAAATTTCTGCAAACGTCTGACTTGACATTTACTTGTACTACTAATTTTTTTATTCAGTAATTGTGTCTTGACTAAAAACAATTTTATCTACTAATAAAATTACTTGTACTACTGATAACATTAGAAACGTTTATTAGAAGGTCTGTCTAAATATTTAGTTGTACTACTGATAAAAAATTATAAACGTTTTTTGATAGTCTGATGCAAAGAAGTATTTATTTATTTATTTATTTATTAGAAGTAGATACAAAAGTAAAAATTAGTTATACTTTTATTTGTTATGCCTGACTAGAAACCAACTTGTACTACTGATAAAATTAAAAAAAAAATTCTGCCAAAGTCTGACTGAACATTTACTTGTATTACTGATAAAATTACAAACATTTATTAAAGGTCTGAATAAATATTTACTTATACTACTGATTTTCTAATTTTATAATTGTGTCTCACTAAAATCAACTTGTACTACTGATAAAATTACTAAAATGTAAAAATCGGACTAAATATTGACTTGTACTACTTAATAAAACTATAAAACATTTACATAAAGTATGTCTAAAAATTGACATGTACTACTAATAATAATATTACAAAAAATTAAAGTCCAACAAGAAGTCAAACTAAAATCAACTTGTACTACTAAAAAAATTACTAAAATGTAAAAATCGGATTAAATATTGACTTGTACTACTTAATAAAATTACAAAACATTTAAAGAAAGTCTGACTAAAGATTGACTTGTACTACTAATAATAATATTACAAAAAATTGAATTCCAACAAAATATTTACTTTTACTACTAATTTTATTATTCAAAAAATCTGATTAAAATTAATTTCTACTACTAATAAATTTACTAAAAAAAAATTACTGAATTTACTTAATTTCTTTTTAGTCAACCAGAAAATAATCTATACTACTTTTTAACTAAATATTTACTTTTTCTACTGATAAAAAAAAAATTTATAAAACCTAACTAAATATTTCCTTTCAATAAAGGTAAAATTATAAATTATTTTTTATTATGCATAGTTAATTAAAATTACATAAATATTTATCAACTATTACAAATAGTTAATTGACTATAATTATTTTAGAAATTAAATTAATTAGTTATTTAATTTTTAATTAATCAATATAATTAGTAATTAATTAGCTTCCATCATGTTCATTATTGCGAGAATAAAAAATGTATGTTTAAAAGATTTGTCTTATATACATATTTAATGAACCAAAAAAGAAAACTGAGCTTTAAAATGAGGAATTATAATTAATTTAATAAGAATAAATTTAATTTACAATTAGTATAATTTGCATTTCCAATTTTCATTTGTAATTCAAGGGAAATAAGAGATATTTCTGAATGAGAGGTAAATGAGAAAGAAAGAGAGAGAGAGAAAATTTCTTTTTCCTATTGAATCTTTTAATATTATTAATTAATTTCATTTTGTATATTAATTTATATATTTTCATAAATAGAAAATTTCGTTGATATTCTCTGTGTGTCTATATATATATATATATATATATATATATATATATATATATATATATATATATATATATATATATATGTTCAAAATGGAAGACATGCGAACGTTTAAAGACGTTGCTAGGAGTCTAAGCCCCCTCCCCCTCCCTGCTCACTCGACTTAAGCTTGTTTCACGACTCTAGTTTCTATGAAACTATATTCTCCAAAGGGTTGTTAAAGCGGAAGGTTGTCGAGTCTCGAGGTCCAATACTTTTACAGTTAGTCGTTGTGAACGTTGTCCTTACTTCAGTGGACTGAAATACTAAAGTGAGCTTAAATGCGTTGCCATAGAGACTGCGGAAATGCTCTTGGTGTGTACAAGGCTTCAATGCACGTGATATCCTTTTCTCCTCCCTTTATCCCCTCTCATCTCTTTGAAATCTATCCCTTCCCCTCATCTCCCATCACAACTTCTGCGACACGTCTCGCACTTAACTGTCCGGAAGTAAGTGAGATCGAGATTTTCATGGATTCGCGTGAAATTGAAATCCGCCTGCGGAGTTTCGGTTGCCAGCTAAAGGTAACACTGGTGTGAGGAGAAAAAAAAAAAGAAAAGAGGATGGGAAATAGAAAATAGGTGGTGAGATGAGGGGGGGGAAAAAAAAGGGATGGAGAAAGATGCAGAAGTGGGAAAAGCGGCATTGGTACTATAAGGATCTCAGATGCTAGCTATTGCATGGGAAAGAGGCTGCAAACAAAAATGGAACAATGACGTCAGGAAAAGTTTCATGTCGAGAGAGTAGTTTCCTTCTATCTTCCAAATGAGAAAGAGAGAGAAAGGCACGGAATTTTAATCGATATTCCAACAAATTTTGACGCGCTTTATATAAACATATACTTTTTTTTCTATTTTTAATTATTATTTGAAAAAATAGAAAGAGAAATCGATTTTATTTAAATTTTATATTTATGTATTTTTAAAATTTTTTTGTCTATGTGTTTTTAATGTTTTTTTTTTTACATTTTTTTGGTTAATATTTTAATAATAAAAAGAATTTCTTTTTTTTGAGAAAAAAATGAAAAGAGATTTTTTTTGATTAGTGAAATACCGCATAGGCACTGACATGCGGCGCTTTGTTAAAACTTCTCAGCCATTGTAACCTTTATTCATGTGAGACTATTGCGCAAAAGAAAAGTCAAAAGTGTTGAAAACTGGTTTCTTTTTCTTTTTGTCTTTCTAGTGCTCTTCAGCAGCATACTTTTAAGGTTTTTAAACTCTCTAATTCTCTTCGCTCTCCATCATATTCACATTATTATTATTATTATTATTTTTTTTTTTTTTGACTCTCAACAACCTGCGTTTGACATATAAAAGAGCATTGAATTCGGAAGCATTTATATGTATACCCTACTGGTTTGAATAAAGAAGACTACTCACTAAGAAAACTTAGCGATTTTACAGCAGCTTCAATATCACGATTCACACAAACTTATTTTCTATATATATAAACTTTTTTTTTTCAAAAGCTCAACTTTCGTATTTTCTCGAAAATTTCCATTAAAAAATTTTGCTATCTCATCTTTTTAGAGTGAAAAAAAAAGAATTAGAATTTTTTTCCCAAAAAGAATTTTTTTTTTATATTATAAAAATTTAATTTCGTGTAAAATAAAAGACAAAAATCTATTTTTAGCAATGTCTGACTAAAATTAATATTTACTACTGTAATTTCAGAAATTTATAACGTACTGTCTGACTTGATTACTTTTTCCACTGATAGTACATTTACGAAAATATTAAAATTCTTGTCTGGATAAATTGGACTTTTTTCACTGATACAAAAACGTTATGTCTGACTAAAAATAAGTTTTACTATTAATATCAACAGTTTGTTAATTTTCCAAATTCAAACACGTTATGTCTGACTAAATATTATTTTTACTACTGAAATTTCAGGAATTTTTTACCATTCTGTTTAACTATAAATTACTTTTTTCATTGATATCACACTTACAAGATTTTTAAAACTCTTGTCTGACTAAAAATTACTGTTACCACTTTCTTACTAAAAATTATTAAACAAAAATTTGTAAATATTATCTGTCTGACTAAAAACACTTTTACTACTAATATTAAAATTTCAATTTCTAAGCATTTCATATCGGATTAAAATAATTATATTTAAATGTTTTAAACATTTATTTTTATAGAATTTAAAAAAAATTTAATTTTTAAAATATATTTACAAAAATTTTTGATATTAAAAAAATGTTTTCAAAGAGAAATCAATTTTTTTTTCCTCCACAACTGATGTAGTGAATAAAATTATTCATAACTTATCCAGTGCATTTTGGGATTTGATAACAATAACGTGGAATGATTTGGTTTATGTACAACGTATATATCCGTCAGGGATTTAGTCATTGTAAATTCATCGAATCATTAGTGACTATTCACTAAAATGATAGTGAATTTACTAATGTAATAATCAATAAAATTAGATATATAGTTAAATTTTCAAATTTATATTAAAAAAAAATTTTTTAAATAAATTTTTAAAAATTATATTATTTTTAATATTTCATTGAATTTAATTTTTTTTTCTTTTTCAGATTCTAATAATTTAGTGATAAATTATTTATTATTATTAATATTATTATAATTATTATTGTTATTGTTATTAGTATTTTTTTTTGATGATGTGTAATTGAAAAAAAGCTATAATTAATTAATGTTTAAGATTCATGTAATTTTTATTATTAACAAGGAAAAAAAAAAGTTGGTCTTTAATAAATAATTAACACAAGATTGACACAAGATGAATTTTTTATTAATGTACATTCTTCTGTTAACATAAAAAGAGAAGGAAAAAACTCTCAATTAGACAGGAATACATTAGTGACCAAATATAAGAGGAAAAGTATTACTAATTAGAAGGAAATATTGAAAATTGTTTTTTTTTTTACCTAGAATTTTACTTCTATTTTCTCAACTTACTATAATTAGCTCAAATTTTTATTTATCTATTTTCTAATTCTTAAATTTAAAATAAATCCTAATTATATTTTTGATATTTATTATTTTAAAAAATAACATTTTTTTGGGGGAAATTTTTTTTTTCTTTTTTTTTTTTAATATATGGATATATTTAATTTGATTCATGCAAACTAATTTGTGAATAATTATAGAAAAGTTAAGAAGCAGAATAATTTAGTATGAATGGAAACTTGGAAAATTAACGCACACTTTTTCAAAAAAGAAAAAAAAAAGAATTTCACATTTACTGAGCTTTCACGCTAATTTTCTTCTAGCACACCCTATAGTCACGATCAGAAAGTGGAGCATGCGCAAAAGTTATTGGAGATTCGAGATGCTTCGCATTCAGTTAAGCCCCGGCATCATAAGGGGTGGTACGCGTTCAAAATTCCTATCTTAAAAGCGTGATTTCAAGCCGGCATTTTTTTTTCCCCCATTTAATTCGATTTTTCGAATGCAAATAAGAAACAGAAAAAATTCCAAATGTGTTTAAGTGTACAAATAATAATTCTGTGAATTAAGAAAATAAAATCATATTTCTAATTCTATATAATTTAGTTATAAAAATAATATTTTGTGTGCTTTTTTTCGTGAACAAAAAAAAAAAAATAAAAATAAATAAGTGACTAAAGAAGAAAAATAAGTGAAAAATGTTAATGTAAAGCAGAAAAGGATCCTTTCGAAAAAAAAAGGTTAGTAAAATTTTTTTTTTAGAAAATAAATACTGAATATTAAAAAAAGTAATAATTAAATTAATTTTGTGGGACATTAATGAAATAATTGATAAATTACCTCTTTGACAAAATATATGGTAGCGCGGAAATGTGTGTGAATAATTAATCGTTCTCGTAGGTTGATAATTTATTCCGTGGTAATTTTTTTTGCGTATAATTAAATTAGAATATAATTGTAGGGATTTAAATGAATTTTCTCTGTTTGGAAATAGTTTTTTTTTTATTTTTTTTTTTAGAAAAGTGTGTGTTCGATTGTTTTCGTATATAGAGGTTCGACGACCTCTACTCTATTCACCTATATATCCTCCAACATGACTCTACACAATTTCTGCAACTATTTATGTCACTATTGATTAACTTTATTCAAAGTATTAACTTTCTTAATTTCCTGCTTAATGTCAGTTTATATAAATCTGTGATTAAAATCTGAAGGGCATATTTCACATAAAAATAATAAAAACAAATCTTTTTGTTTTCATCAACAATTTTACACACAATTAACTATTTTCCTTTTTATAAATGTTGAATTTTATATATTATATTCAATTTTTCATATTTTATATATTTTTCACTTTTTAAAAAATTCTCTTTCTCTTAAATAATTTACTGAATTTTTTTTTTCGATTTTAGCTAAAAATAATAAAAATTGGCTTTATCAAAGTATAGCATGTTTTTTTTTTGAGTTCTTCAAATATATTTTTTTGTAAAGAGAATTTTTTTTTTTTATTGTTGATTGCTGTTTTTTTTCTGTGTGTAGAGAATATTTTTCGAAAAAGTTTTCACTCGATTAGTTATTTCTCTGTTAATAACAAATGTGCTCAACAGGCAATTTAACATGTGAATAAACTGGAAACAACGGGGTATAATCTCTAGAGGAATAGGTTAGTTTGCACTATAGAATTGCCTCATTCCAATTCGGGATTTCGAAGCGGTTACACGGATTAAGATCGCATACAATGTATAATCTTTCGTATTATATATAAAAATCCTTCACGTAAGAAATAGAAAATTCTACTTTATATGTAGGTATAACTTTCTCCTCGAATATTCTTCAAAATAGTTTTTTTTTTTTTTTTGTAAAAAAAACAGTTAGAAATTATTAATAAAAAAAATATTCATAAAAAATATTCCCGTTTATAAATAATAACTATTTAAAATAATAAAAAAATTTTTGATTTATTTTTTTTTAACAATTGATAATTTTCTCTTTATTTTTCTCTCTATATCAATCATGGTACTTTGTGTACGAAAGAGAAAATTTTTTTATCCCCTTTACTCATAAATAAATAAAATATTAGATTTCCCCCCCCCCCAAAAAAAATCGCATCTATTTCTTGCATTTACTAGCCCAATATATATTTTATCAGATAAATAATGTTCCGATAAATGTGCAGTTTTTTTTTTCTTTTTAAAGATTCACAAATTACAGGCCTCGTTCTAATAAATACTTTCTGTTGCTCTCCATCATCATTACTTACTAAAATTGCCAAGTATTCTTCAGTTATATACAAGTTCATTCCGGTATTCTACATTCCTCTAGATCTGATAAGATAAATTGCTTCATTCTGCATTCGAGTTTCAAATAAGTCAACTTCAACTTTGTAAGTGGTACTCTTTTTTTTTTTCTTGAAAAATGGATTAAAAGTATATAAATTTTCCATGATGAAATTGAGATTTTTACACATATATAAAATTAATATGAAAAAAAAAAATTCTAAATTATCATCTCGGTTTTGTAATGAAAATGAATATTATATTTTCACACAATGAATCGTGATATTTTGTTGTATAATACAAACAAACTTATTTCCATTAGGTTTTGTGAGCGCAAGTTGACAAACATTAATGAAGGGATTAAGAAAATATGTTTATAAATTAATGTAAATGCGAAAGGGGAATAGGGCTTTTCGCCAGGTGAAAATATCCACATGTAAATTCGCATGGAAATTGCACACGGAATTTGGAACCATTCCAGGTGGAATCCACGAGAAACTTTTCATAAACGTAAATTGAGTAAAATACCTCAAAAAAAAAGAAGTTTTCAAATTACAAACGCTAAAATGTTGAGAGTTTTAATGAATCAATTTTCAGTTGGTTGAAAGTAATTTTATTTATTTATATCATTTTTGATTGCAAAAAAATATATATATATATATTTATATTATTCTTTCCTTTTTTATTACAAGTTACTATATTTTTTATTATTTATATTATTTTATTATTATATTTTATATTATTAATATTTATATTATTCTTTCCTTTTTTATTACAAGTTACTATATGTTTTTTATACTTAAATGAGGTTTTAGCAAAATTTATTATTTAAAGAGATTTGTTGTTTTAACATTTGAATATGTGTGGATTTGAATTTAAAATAATTATGAGAGATTATACATTCTCTCATGGATAAATATTTATTATAACTACATTCAAACTTCTAAAAATTAATAAAATGATAAATTTTGACATATGAGTAACACTTGCCTAAATGTGTGTGTGTTATTGTTTTTTTTTCAAACAGTTAGATTATCTCGAAAACGTTTCAACAGATTGCAATAAAATTTTATGGACATATTAAAGTCTTTAATATCTATATTTAAATGCAAGCATTTCAACAAATGTCCATTCAATTTTATATGACCTATTTTGTACGTATGGAGAAAAAAATAGTTTATAACAAGAAACACGTTTTTTATACAACACATATTTAGTTTCACATGTAAGGAAATGTAAATAAAAATTAAAACATTTTTTTACTACAGATTTTTCTAAAGATTTTTTTTTTTACAGATTTTACAACGGATTTTTCATACTGATTTTACGTTTGGAATTATTTTAAAACGTTTTGTTTATTTATATAGCCGAGGGTGAAAAAGAAAAATTCGACAAAGGTCTGACTAGAAATAGATTTTACTACTGATTCGAATATTGGAAGAATTTTCCAACGTTTTGTCCGACTGGAATGATCGTTTACTACTAGAATAAAAATAACACGGATTATAAACGCTTGGCGTGACTAAAATCTGTGAAAAAAAAACAAAAAAGAAACTATTTTTAGCTATGTCTGACTATAATTGAGTTGTACTACTGATAAAATCATTTTTTGAAGTTGAAAATATTTTGTAAATAATCTTACTAAGTAGAAGAATTTAAATTACCATGTCTCACTAAATTGGACTCTTACTACTGATTCTTAAAAACAATAATTCGACAAAGTTGTGTCCGACTAAAAATTGGTTTTACCACTTATTTCAACATTGAAGAGATTTAAAATTTATTTTGAGGAAAATTTTAACCTTCTGTCTGACTGTAAGATATTTTTTCTACTAATTAAAAAAAAAAAAATTTAATTACTCGCTTAAAACAAATTTTTTCTAACTAAAAATAATTTTTTACTACTGAATTCAAGGATAGTGAATTTAAAATCCCCGTATAGAAATAGCCCTATCAGAGCCCTAGTAGGGAATGAAACGCCACACCTAATAAGAGCCAAATCAGGCCAATCAGAAAATTTGTATTTCCTAATTAGGGCCTCATCAGGCGTGGCGTTTCATTCCCTAATAGGGGCGCCTAATCCGGCCCTAATCTCAACCCTGGCAAAATTTCTACACGTATCCTTAAATGTCTGACTACAATTGGCTTGTTCTACTAATTCATCAATTTTTGGTACAGTTATATAACAATTTTTTTTTTTTGCCTCCTTTTTTATCCCTTACAAATATACAATTATTATTAACAAAAGATACTGATTTTGAATATAAAAAAAAAAAAAAATAATTTTTCTTACTCTCTGGTGTAAAATATAAAAAAAAAATAAAGAAAAAAATCATTACGTTGTTTCAATCTCGTGACAATTACACAAAGGTTGAAAAATATTTTGTTTTCCCGAGTAATTTTGTAACAGGTCGATTACAAAGTACAATGTAAACTCAAGGGAGCAAGTGAATGAGAGAGCGAAAGAGAGAAAAAGAGAGAGAGAGAGAGAGAGAGAGAGAGAGAGAGAGAGAGAGAGAGAGAGAACAGTTCACATAGCAGCGTCGTTTGTGAAATTTAGGAAAATTGAGACGGTGTTTTCCCAGCGGGGTGGCAACACTGTTTCGTTGCTCGTAGTCTGAGCCGCTTTATAGAATCTGAGTGAGTAAAAGAGAGAGTAAGAGAGAGAGAGAGAGAGAAGTATAACAACATTAATCTCATCGTTGGGACGTATTGGGTGATTATGGCTGGTGGCGCGCTCGTTCGTTGCTTCGAGGGTGGTCAGAAAAGGGGTAACACAACCGTTACGTCAGAGAGGCATGACTGTAGTTTCGTTGTAGAAACTACAAAACAAGAGGGAGAGAGACAGAGATATGTGCAGCAGCTCAAGCACGTGCACCCCCGTTATTCCTGTGTGTTAGTACTCGTACAAACTCGCAAACAGTTTCGGGAATGCGTTGCATGTGTTTCAGCGTTGATATGATTTAGGAATAGCTTCCTGCAAGCGCAAGCACTATACTGGGCTCGTTGGATTTGCGTGTCTATGGAATACATATATATATATATATATATATATACAATATAGTATAAATTGTATATATACATAATATATTTAAAGGTAGAGTGTCCACTGCCCATGAGACGGTTTATAAGCAATTCGAGGCAGCAAATGTTTTGTCTTTTGACATAAACAAGAGACCGTTAGAGAACCACCACTGTAAGTGACCAAGATTTACTACAGGCGCGTGACCTTTCCGCTCGCGATATTAGGCCGATTCATCATTCTCTAGGTCGAATAAGCAAGAGAGACAGAGAGAGACAGAGATAGAGAGAGAACACCGCAACCAGCATTGCATTGGTCTCTATTCAAATAGAAAATCATGGCGTACCTTCAATACTATATCGATTTCTGATTCATGCCAATATTAATTTCCACCACTGCCATTGATATTATCAAATTCTGCTCATTTTAGTCGGAAAAAAAA